ACACTATATACCATGATAAAGGCTTCACAAGGTAGATTCATTCTCTCAATTCGTCGGCTATGATTTTTTGTTCCGACGGTTGCCAGCATTTTAAAATAAAATAAAATTAAAAAAAATGAAATTCCTCACAATTGTTGTTGTTTGAGATTGAAAATGAGAATGTGTGAGTCTGAGTTTTGAATTTTTAAATTATATTGCTGGCGAACGTCAGACTGCCTCTCGATGGTTTTACCTTGTTATGTTTTTATCATGCTACATACGTTTCTAATAAATGAGCGATATGTATGTACATACGACGCCTTCAAGAAAAAAAGGAGACGAAGGGGTAGACTGTAAAGTGTGTTTCTTATGCCATTGTTTTTTTAGGTCGCCAGTACATCCACATACGAAACGACCTCGCTATGTAGAATCCTTTCGACCGACACCCTATGCATATTACCTGCCACTGCATAACACACAAGCGCCAACATACATACATAGACAGAAAAAACAACAAAATTAACTTGCCGTAGCGGAGGCGACGGCGATCGAACACCACTAAAAATCTGGCACATGGGCACGGCGATAATGCGTGCATGTAACAGCTTCACCCCTTAATACGGGTACAAACATTTACACACTTGTGTCGATACCAAAAGATAGATTTTGGATCAACACCATATCGAGGTTTGAGAGCCAGCTGCGACTTAGGAAGCAACAGCAACAAAGCAAATATCAGCTGGACGAATCGCATGCGATTTTTGGGATAGGTCAACGCTCGCCGTACAAGTAGAAACAGGCACTTGCGCGTGAAGAAAAGTGAGAAGAGAGAATCGGGACGGCTTTCCAGCGAGCGGACACTCACTCAAGCGGGCATACATACATAGCGGCACGACCGCTAGCGGCGATCGCCACAAGGCACACCGGGAGCGACCACCACCAACCACCCGATTAGCTGAGCTGGAAGTTTTTTTGTTTTACATACATATATGTACACACATATGTAGGCTTAGCTGTTATTTCCATTCCGATGCCTTTTTTCTTTTTAATTTATCACCTTTTTCTATTTTTTTGCTTATCTACAGGTTTTATCACCTAATAACTTTCTTTTGCCAGATTTTATGAATTCTTTTACAGAATTCACTAAGTTTAGTTTTTTATCTTAAATCAGGTTAGCAGTACATAAATATTTTTTTAGTTTGGTAAGAACCCTTCGGCTTACCTCAGCGTAATTTTTCTTTTCACAACTTCTCTTGGTGGATAGGAATACGTTCCACACTCTTTTAGTTTTTCTTTCGCGCTTTTTCTTTTAGCCGATCCGAATTTTCGTTATTACTGTTTTTACACAAATTTATTTTTGCTTCTTTGGTTCGCATGATATTTCTATTTTTCCTTTCGTTTGTACTTGGTTTAGACAATTTATTNTTAGCAGTACATAAATATTTTTTTAGTTTGGTAAGAACCCTTCGGCTTACCTCAGCGTAATTTTTCTTTTCACAACTTCTCTTGGTGGATAGGAATACGTTCCACACTCTTTTAGTTTTTCTTTCGCGCTTTTTCTTTTTGCCGATCCGAATTTTCGTTATTACTGTTTTTACACAAATTTATTTTTGCTTCTTTGGTTCGCATGATATTTCTATTTTTCCTTTCGTTTGTACTTGGTTTAGACAATTTATTTTGTATCCTTAAATTTCGTTTTTTTTTTCATTTTTCGCGCGAGTAAATTTCTTTGCCACCAAAGTGTGACTTGCTCGTCGCCCCCGAACACGAGCAAGTGATCAGCTTAATAAACTGCGCCGGTCTTCAACCGTCAGCTTGCAACTGACAGACGTGTGTAGGTCTAAATGTATGTATGTATGTAACTTCTCAGCCCTTTCCAGCATCCTCTCATCAATGTTGGTAACATCATCGTGAGAGTGATAAGGATAGTGAGAAAAAAAAACTTCCTACATATATATGTATATACATACGTAAATAGCCATAACCACACACGTATTTATAAATATACTTTTTGTTTTGATCTATTTTTTTTACTATTCTTTCGCGGGTCCCTTTCGCTTGAATATTACATACGTCCATGCGTATATCATTAACACGTATGTAAAGGGTGTTCAAGCTGAGTAAATGAATTTTTTTTTAGCTTAATTTTTTTGCGTTTTCTTGTTATTTTTGCAAGTTCTTTTGGAAGATTAGCGAAGAATTGAATTTGAGTTGTGGATTTTATTTTTATTAAAGTTTTTGCGAATCTTCCTTCAAGTCAATACCAGTTATAATAAATTTTGTTTTATGGAACACGGTTTTTAATGGAATTAAATTAATAATAGCTGCAACTCATTCACATGTTAGGGTAGTTATACATACATATACTTGTGCGCATATGTGTTTGAATCTGCACTTGGGTGGTTGAATTGAATTTAATTTTCATAAATACTTAGTTTCTATAGGTTCTTTAGGCGTTAATTAACTTTTTAATTAGGCTAAGCTTCGTGAAATAAAAAAAGAGAAACCCATGGAAATGTTATTGTTGAACATCTGAAGGGCTAAGGGTTTCGTAATGTAGTGCTGAATATTTTCATTTTTGGTGTGGGTGTTACACTAGGGCCTATGAGGGGACATGAGGGCGTAGACCGACGTCTCGACTGGGACGAGACTGATAGACAAATAGACAGACGAACTAAGTCAGGCAAAGGGGCCGTTGCAATAATTTTAGGAGTCAGCGCAACGCACATGGCTGCGTATGCGAGACACGCAGAGGGGGTGGCACGTCTCCACCTGACAGGGCAGGCCTTTCCTTTTTTCTCTGCTTCCGTTCCTTTTTTATTGTGTTCGGATTTCTTCCCTACTTTCGTGTTATTCTTGAAACCAGGCATGAATAAATTTTGTTTATGTGTAAGGCGGGTGGTAAGAACCCCCCGTCCGGCAAGCAAGCCTAGGCCTGGAAAACCATACCTGTATACCACCTGGCCTTAACTGACAGGTACCCACATAACAATGGCGCCCAACGTTAATAGCCCAATAGTTTTTTTTTAATTTTCCCATCTTTGTCACTTTAACTTTTAACTCTTCGTTTTCTTCCTTGCTTCCTTCTGTTTTAATTTCTTTTTTTTTATTCCTTACTTTCTATCGGACGAGTTAGGGCCAGTAAGGCAACGTCACTTGCGGCCACCGTAAGTGACTAGTGCCTGAGTGACTAACATGGCGGGGTCTGAACATCACAACTTCGAAGTACCTTCGTTGTTGCTTCAATGCGCTGATGAAGAGGGATTCGAAGTTGTGGTGACACTAGTAGCTGTTTTTGTTTTGAGTTTAGTGAAGGCAAGCTATAAGCTACCTAGTGTGCGATCCAGCATCGTGCACTGGTGAGGTTCATAGTGAGTCTTCACAGGGGGTAGTGGGGGTAGTGGGGGGAGTGTGGCATCCACCGTTGAAGCTACGGAATTGGCGGTTGACATGCCACACTAGATTGAATAGTAGTTGGGGGTTAGGTGACATCAACGTAGGACTGAAGACATATGGACTTAACGCGCTCACTGTGACCTTACTCAGTGTAACACCACCCACACACCAAAGTATTTACATATCTTATTCACAACAACAACTACAACAAATACTTTTATGCTAATCAATATTAGTAATTACAAGTGTATGAAAACAAAAATATAAGAAATTAATAAATATCCCTCTTTTGCCACCCACCTAAGTGAAAAAAAAAAAAAATAATAAAAATCAGCATTTTGAATTTTGATCTGGGTTTACTTGCATATATATGTATGTATTTATAAATATTTCCTGAATTTTATTCACATACATTTGAGTTTTACCTTTTCTCCTGGTATTGGATTATTATAACATTTTTTATAATTTCATCAGTTTTAAAATTTTTTTCTTGATCTCAAAATCCTAGTTTTAAATTTTAATTTCTTTTGCAAAAAAAAGAAAAAACAAAGAAAACATATTCATTCATTTTAGATCTCCTAATTATTACATTTTGTATCTAATTAAATTAATCCAATTAAATTGTTTATTGTATTATTATTTTGCCTTATANTTTTCTCTTTGCGCAATCCTACTATTCTAAATAAAAGAGTTTTGCGGAATATCTCACTTTCCGCTTTCCGCCTATCCTAAACATCTTCGAAAAGTTTCGAACATGAAAAGTAGGTATTTTAAATATAAAGAAAGTGCGGAAACTCTTCGAAATCCGTTAGAATTATTTCATCTCGAATTTTCCAGGGAGTTTGCTGCAAAAATGTGAGTATTTTGATAAAATGGAAGAAAAAGACATACATTTTTTGTTTAAGGTCGAAAACAACAAATAAAACCCAAATGGGAATCCTTGTAAACATGATGGAGGAGAATCCTGCTATTGCGAGAGGATTTTTTAAAGGAAATAAGGAGGAGCTCACCCGATTTTGGCAGAAGGTGAATGTTGAGCTGAATGCGGCAGGCCCCCCAACTAAAACCATTGTGGAATGGAAAAAGGTGATGTCAATGTTTCAAAAAGAGAATCGGTGTATGCATGCAAAATTGTGTCAGTAGTTTGTTAATGTTCCTTTTGCTACACAAATATATACATTGTTTAATTGATGAATCGCATTTTTAGGTATGGACCGACCAGAAAAAATATGTTCGGCAAAAAGTGGCTAGCAATACTAAGCTTTAGAAAGGTACTGGAGGCGGCCCACATATGGTGAAAGTACTCTCCCCCCTTGAAGAAAATGGAAAAAAGCGCATTGATTATTGGCAATTTTTTCACATAGTTTCTTTCATACGAAGAATGATCGTCAACTTTTTTGTATGAAAGCTGCGTGAAAAAATTACAAAAAGCAACGCGCTTTTTAGAAACTTAAAGCTTGCACTTCATTATACCACAATTGAATAGGCTATAAAACTACATACTTAGAATTTTCATAGAAAATCTTATTAAAAAGTTGCAAACTTGTATGTAAGTTTGGTGAATTTTCCTGAGTTTTGTACAAAGTTTCGAGGTTTAATTATTTTTTTGTTGGTATGAGCTAATTTTTATAAATAAATTAGAGGAAAAATTAAATTTAAAAAGTTTACATACATTGCGAAAAATTCCCTGTGTCAATAATTTAGTGCGGCACTCTATATGATTTTTTATTACAACATATCTAAGTGTTTTATTACATCGAAATAGTAATACATATTTATAGCCAAGCTTACGAGAATTAAATGTGCGTAAAAAATTCAAAAATTGCTATTCTTAATTTTTAATTATTAAAAGAATCACGGATGTTGTTTCTTATTGATCTCGCAATCTCCATATTGCGCGTCGGCGTAGTAGTATGAGCTTCGTGAACTTCAGGAAAATTTACCTCGACTTCGCCTTCGGGTATTTCGGGTACATTCGCTCTGAAGTAAATGCAGATGTTGTGTAAGCAACAAGTAGCATTAATAATTTGTGCTGCTTTCTCTGGCGTGTAGTGTAGTTCTCGAGCACCAAGGATACATCTCCACCTGTTTTTTAAAACCCCGTTTGTTCTCTCAATAATGTTGCGACATTTCGAATGTATTTCGTTGAACTTCATTTCTGCTTGGCCTGGCATCCGATAAGGAGTGATAAGCCACGGTTCCAACGGATATCCAGCATCACCTTAATACACGTAATTGAAAATATGTATGTTTTAATTTCTAGGCGAAGATACGTGCATAATTATGTACATACATACATACATACATATGTATGTATATATAAAAGCTTAATGCTCTGACTTTAAAAATGTTTACAGTGCTAAACTTTACCTAATAGCCAGAAATTTCTTGGATGATTCGAAAATTCGGTCTCAAAATGTGAACGTAACTCGCTAACGTTCCAAATTAGCGAGTCATGACTAGCACCCGGATGAGAAGCATCGACGTAGCGAATTTTTAGTTCATGGTCACACACCTGGAATTAATAGTAATAAGTAAATTTTCTGCAAAAACGATTTAAGAACGTACCAAGATAACATTCAAACTGTAGTATCCTTTTCTGTTGTAGTACAGGTGAGAATTTTCGGATGGTGCGATTATTTTAACGTGTGTTCCATCTACACAACCGACAACAGCTGGAATTTTATGTTTAACATAAAAAGCAGTCGCAATTTTGCTTTTTTCTTCCGCTGTCACTGGAAACTGTTCCCACCGTGGGCACAGATACGTCTCAAATATACGTAGCACGTCGGCGAGTGCTTTGGAGAAACTAGACTGCGCTAGTCCAACGTCGTGGTGTTTTCCCACACCCGTCTGATAACCACCTTCCGCAAAAAAGCGCAAACAGGCGCTCAACTTCACTATAGGTGTAACAGCAAACTGCTTCCTACCTGGCTGTGTATGAGTCGTTACCACTTCTAGCAAGTATTCAAACGCCGGTTTATTCAACCTGAAATACTTTTCAAATCTATTTATAGAAATAGAAAACGAAATAGTTAGTTGTTTTAACACATATTTTTGAACTCCTTTACTCACAAAGGTTGAGGCAACTCCAAGGGGTTCATCAAGTCGCGCAGTTTCCTCCTCGCCACTCGTTGCGCGTTTGTTTGTTGCCTTTCTTCCTCACTAATTTCTCTCACTAACATATTTAACGCTAAGCTATTCATTTTTAAGTTTCCGAATCAACCACAATTAATAAAGTTTCGCCAAAACATGCAAAAATCCCATTGGCAAATTATCGAAAAATTGTCAACAATAAGCATAACAGCTGATTTCGAAAGATAGAAAGAGAAAAAATCCTACTCCTAAAAAATCCTTCTCCCCGACAATTTAGAATTGGAGGATTTTTTCTTAGAGGATTTTAAAATTCGCAAAGGAGAAATTCCGCAAGAATATTTAGGATTGGGCTGATAATCTTGAAATCATTTCCAAACTTTTTTGTTTGTTTTCTTATTTGAATTTAAAATTTTTGGGTATTTTTAAATTCAGATTATTTTTTTGAGCTTTGATTTCCGGTTTCGGAGATACTATTTTGTTTCATCGCGACTGCGATATCGGATGCTGAACTTTGAATTTCCTTATTTGAATCTAAAGATTGTGAAGTAACTTTATTGGGAGTTTTGGATCATAAACTTTGAACTAGTTATGATTTCTTTTTAGTTTTCTTTATATATCGTTTCAACTTGATTTTTTTAAGAAATCATATTCCAGCCTTCACGTCACAAAACTTGGATTTTTCGGTCGACTTGTATAGATATACATATTTTTATGAATTTGTTTTGATTTTCGGAGAGTCGAATTATAAGATTGTGAGGTTTTATTGAACGTATCTTTTATTTGTGTTATATCTTTTGATTCCTTTTGGAGGTTTGGATTTTCATTTCTTGTGGTTCTCAATTTTGAATTTCGCACTTTTTTCTACCTTTTCGTTGAAATTACAAAGTTTCGATCTAAGTCTTCTTTGGTTGAATATTTTTTGTCATTCTCTGAATTTATTTTGTTTTGTTGAAATCTTTGGAATATCATTTTTAAATTCACCTGGATTTTTATTCATTTTTTTGGCTTCCCTGAGACCTCTTCTGCGAACTTTTAGGCCCTTGTTTTATTCAGATTTCCCCCGTCGACAGTTCGAATTTTGGAGTTTGTATATAGTATTGGATTCGGGCTCACATACATACATAATTTGTTAATTTAAGTTTGCGGTGTAGTGCTATTAATTTTTTGTGTATAGGGGTGCGAGTGAATGGCAAATCGAGAGGGTGAAGAGCGAGAGATTACGGATAGAGTGGTTGCTGGAGGATTGGGTCTGCTTGATTCGGGCCGTAGGGTAACGCGAAGCGTAGCAAGGGCTTTGGAGAACCGGGTGGTCGGCTCTATATTTACCCAAATTGACTCTGGCATTCCACTTCCGGTAGACTTCGTCCCTACAGACTATTTAAATAGGTGTACCGAGAGGATATTTGAGACTGCCAGCCGGGAGTCACGACAATCAGCTATTAGGGTTACAGAACAGGTCGCGGTAAACACCTCAGATAATAGTCTTACACTTTCCCGAAAGATAGAGGAGCTTTCCCGAATGTCAGAGGAAGAGAGTTCAGGGGAAAACATGCCACAAAGTGACCAGCAGCCAGGAGGCTCAATGTCTCAAGATGGCGGGCCGAGTTCTGCAGCCATCAACGTCGAACAGCTGAGTCGGTTAATGGCGATGATGGCACATCAAGGCGATGTAATGGAGAAATGCATGAACGAGGTCCGACAAGTAAAAGACAATGTAGTAAGCCTCAATAATAGAGGCAGTCGGCCAACCATGGCGTCAACTCCAGACGCAGGACGGCATGAAAGCTCTGCAGCGGACCAAGGTAGGGTAGGAAGACGAGTACAAGACGACAACAACTCTCGATCCGGGACCGAGGCAAGGAAGAAGGTTGATCTTGAAAAGTGGCATATAAAGTTTGATGGTACAACTAAAGGTTTTCGGTCGAAAATTTCATATTCCGCGTCGAGAGGATGAGGGAACAGCATGGTATCGCCTACCACCAGCTGTTTACCGACTTCCATTGTTTGGTCACCGGCAGCGCCTTGAAGTGGTACTGGCAAGTACTCGAAGACCACGCCGACGATTCGGACTTCGGGTACCACGAACTTAAAGCCGAGTTGCTGGGCCACTTCAAGACGTCTGAATCGGATTATGAGGTGATCCGAGAAATCATGGAGCGAAAGCAGTCTCCACAAGAAAGCTTTGAGGAATTGTACAGTGAGGTCCATAACCTGACCTTCCGCCTCCGAAGGAAGATACCTGAACATGGGCTGGTAGGAATAATCCGGGGAAACCTAAAGCCGTATCTCGCAAATTTGACCTTCGCGTCGCGAATCACAAGACTAGCGGAATTAAAATCAGAATGTAAGCGAGCCGAGAGGGTCATTAGAGAAAATAGAAACAGGTCGAAGACAGTGGGCGTAGTAGAATTTATGTTAGAGAGTAGGGTAGAGGAGAGAATAGAACCGAAAGTATAAGAAAGGAATGTAGAGGCAATAAATAGGACCCAGTATAATAAACCTCCACTGGCAGTGTCAGTCCCCAATAGAGTGCCCCCGTCCGTTGATTCCAATGTCCACAAACCCACTATCCACTCGTTTTGTCCGTCTCCTTTCCACCTGATGTTGTGTCTTAAGTGTGGTCTTCCCGTCGATCACTATGTAAAAAACCTACTTGACGCCCGGAAGGAAGATAAATGTGTGTCCAGGTTCCACGATATGATATGTTTTGCATGTGGCAGTAATTCGTCATTCTGTGTGTATAAGCCTAATCCGGGAAACCAGCGGAAATCTCCGGGAACTCTTGCCAGCAGAAGGACCACCCGGAGACAGGCCAGTGAACAACCCAGTGATAGTTTTAAGGAGAGGAGTTGGTGAGAAGATAGTCCAGAGTAAGTTAGAACCAGTAGAAGATAGGAAAGAAATTAAAAGTTTACACCAAAGAAAAATGGAGTATGAGGAGGCAAGAAAGCGCATATTTTGTGAGGAGATAACTAAGAAGAAAAAGAATAGAAATTTCGAGAAATGAGGGAGAAGAAGAAGAACCCCAGAAGGATTTGTAAAAAGATCGTCTCAACTATAGTAACACTAAAACGGGATAACAGGTTTTTTGTTAGAACTATAATTGGAGATCAGGAAGTATTCGCACTCCTCGACTCAGGTTTAGGAGCCGGCTGCCTAGGGAAGAACTCTGAGGAACTCCTTGAAGGAAAGGAAAGCCTCATAATGCCGACTAAAGGCCAGAACATTCGAACGGCCAACGGAGGGGCACAGCGGTGGTGGGAGTCATCACACTGCCCGTTCTCTGGGATAATTTCACTCGAGACTTGGAATTTTTGACTGTGCTGGAACTCCAACAAGAGGTCTATCTTGGCGTTGACTTCTGGCAGGCTTTTGAAATGAGTGTTGTGAGTAGGGGTGTGACAACAAGAGTGAATGGTCCCGTCGTTGCGGAATTGGTACCCGCCGAAGGCGACCTAACATTTGATGCGGTGCAACATAGGCTAGCCCATGACCAAGAAGGGGCACTAGAGCGGGTTAAGGCCCAATTTCCTTCTTTTGCTGTGCTAGGGTTAGGCAAGACGGATAAAGAAGAACACGTAATCGAGGTCACAAACGAAAACCTCCCAGTGAAACAAAGGCACTACCCCATCTCGCCAGCAATCCAGAAACATACNTGATGTTGTGTCTTAAGTGTGGTCTTCCCGTCGATCACTATGTAAAAAACCTACTTGACGCCCGGAAGGAAGATAAATGTGTGTCCAGGTTCCACGATATGATATGTTTTGCATGTGGCAGTAATTCGTCATTCTGTGTGTATAAGCCTAATCCGGGAAACCAGAAGCTGGCGGAAATCTCCGGGAACTCTTGCCAGCAGAAGGACCACCCGGAGACAGGCCAGTGAACAACCCAGTGATAGTTTTAAGGAGAGGAGTTGGTGAGAGGATAGTCAAGAGTAAGTTAGAACCAGTAGAAGATAGGAAAGAAATTAAAAGTTTACACCAAAGAAAAATGGAGTATGAGGAGGCAAGAAAGCGCATATTTTGTGAAGAGATAACTAAGGAGAAAAAGAAAAGAAATTTCGAGAAAATCAGAAAAATGAGGGAGAAAAAGAAGAACCTCAGAAGGATTTGTAAAAAGATCGTCTCAACTATAGTAACACTAAAAGGGGATAACAGGTTTTTTGCTAGAACTAAAATTGGAGATCAGGAAGTATTCGCACTTCTCGACTCAGGTGCAGAAGCCAGCTGCCTAGGGAAGAACTCTGAGAAACTCCTCGAAGGCAAGGAAAGCCTCATAATGCCGATTAAAGGCCAAAACATTCGAACGGCCAACGGAGGGGAGACAGCGGTGGTGGGAGTTATCACACTGCCCGTTCTCTGGGACAACGTCTCTCGAGACTTGGAATTTTTGATTGTGCCGGGACTCCAACAAGAGGTCTATCTTGGCGTTGACTTCTGGCAGGCTTTTGAAATGAGTGTTGTGAGTAGGGGTGTGACAACAAGAGTGAACGGTCCCGTCGTCGCGGAATTGGCACCCGCCGAAGGCGACCTAACGTTTGATGCGGTGCAACATAGTCTAGCCCATGAACAAGAGGCGGCACTAGAGCGAGTTAAGGCCCAATTTCCTTCTTTTTCTGTGCTAGGGTTAGGCTGGACGGATAAAGAGGAACACGTAATCGGGGTCACAAACGAAAACCTCCCAGTGAAACAAAGGCACTACCCCATCTCGCCAGCAATCCAGAAACATATATATGCAGAATTAGACAGGATGCTAGAGATGGGCGTGATAGAAGAGAGTAATAGTAGCTGGAATTCTCCCGTTTCGCTAGTGGTTAAGGGTACAAAGAACCGGCTTTGTTTGGATGCGCGGAAGGTAAATGAGCGAACAATAAAAGATGCGTATCCGCTTCCCCACATTGACGGCATCTTAAGCCGCTTACAGAATACCCGATTCATCTCAGCAATTGATTTAAAGGACGCGTTTTGGCTAATACCTCTGTAGAAAAAGTCAAGGAAGAAACCCGCTTTTACGGTGCCTGGGAGACCTCTTTACTACTTTACCGTCATGCCTTTTGGGTTGTGCAATGCTGCACAACGTATGTGTAGGCTTATGGACAAGGTTATACCCGCTTCTTTACGTGAGTCCGTGTGTATCTAGATGATTTGCTTGTTTGTTCAGAAGATTTTGTGTCTCATTTGTCGTTGTTAGAGAAAGTAGCTAGGTGTCTTCGTGATGCAAAGTTAACAATAAATGTTGAAAAGAGTGAATTTTGCTTTAAAGAAGTACGGTATCTCGGCTATGTGGTTGGAAACGGGTGCATTCGAACAGACAAAATAGCGGCGATGAGGAACTTTCCACAACCACGAACCCCAAGCAGCTCAGGCGGTTCCTGGGGATGACAGGGTGGTACCGTAGATTTATTCAAGACTACGCGACCATTGCAGCACCGCTGATCTTCAGCAGGACCACGCCAGGAAACTTTGGGTTTCAACAGAGCTGCGTCGTGGGTTGGTGGAGTCCTCGCATGATTCGCCATCTGCTGGCCATGGTGGGATACACAAAACACTATCCAGAATACGAGAAAAATATTATTGGCCGGGGATGGTAACCGAAGTACAAAATTACATTAAAGGAGATTTACAAGGGGAATAAAGCACATAATGCGTTTCACAGGCCCCTGATGTGAAAGCAACACATAACCGAGAGACCTTTTAAACGTTTATTCAT